TGATTTTATGACTGAGTAGACGCTCAACATGCGCTTGGAATTGTAAGAAAACATTAAACACATCAGACTTGCGTTTAAGAAGATAAAGCCAAGTGAACGGACTATAAGCATCAATGAAACTGACATAGTAATTATGACCACTATCAGAGGTTTGGGCATGTCCCCATACATCCGAAAACACAAGTTCAAGAGGTTTGGGCATGGCCCCATACATCTGAAAACACAAGTTCAAGCGGTTTATTGACTACACGACTCGAATCAGAAAAAGGAAGCTGATGACTCTTGCCCTGCTGACAGGCATCACAAATTGCATCAACATGTTTATTGGACACAACTGGAAGCTCATGACAATGAAGTACATGGCGAACAATGGGAGTGGCAGGATGACCAAGGTGCGCATGCCAATGTGGTGGAGACACACGAACACCACTGAAAGCACTAGGAACTGGTGGCACATCAAGTGCATAGAGACCATTATGGCGCAGTCGACCTCTAAGGAGTACGTCCCTCGTGTCTCGGCCCTTAACAAAAGAATGAAAAGGATGAAATTCAGTAAGAACATTATTATCATGAGTAAGTTTAGGAACTGAAAGCAAACTACGTGAAACAGAGGGAACACGAAGGACATTAAGACGACATAATTGTGTGGATCGACGTGTAAGAAGTGATGCCTGATCAATATGTGAGATGTGCATACCTTCCCCATTAGCGGTGCGAACCTGATCGTGTCCACGGTACCTCCTATGTAGAGAGCTTGCCCATCTCACTCGTCGGGTGATTGATAGCTCCCGTATCCATGTACCAAGATGCATCAACCGGATAGGAAGGAGTATGCCCCTGCTCATGACTTGCTAGGGCATCCTGCTTCTCATTACCCTTGCCATTGTTCCTGATCCCCAAGAAATTCTGCTTGAAGCGACGATGACACTGAGAGGCAAGGTGACCGTAAAGTCCACACAGCTGGCAGGGGACCTGAGCACCACATGAAGAGCAGCAGGAAGGGACTCGAGCTCCCGTGGAGGTAGTGGTGTTTCGCGAGTTAGGCGCGGTCGGCGGAGGTTTGCCACCAGTTGGTGGCTTGTAGGGCTTGCCCTTCCCATGTGTTACAACGTTGGTGGAAGGGAAACTCGGCGTAGAGTGACGAGCCTGGACGCGCTGTTCCGTGGCAAGAAGGCGCGCATACAACTCAGGCGGCTGGATGGGAGTGTCACGACGATTGATATTCTCCACCAAATTATCATAGTCGTCACTCAGTCCATTGAGCACGTAAGAGGTGAACTCCTCCGAACCAAGAGCCTTGCCAATGGAGGCAAGTGTGTCAGCCATACCCATCACCTTGTTGAAGTAGTCGGTGGCGGTGAGATCATGAAGCTTCACCTTCCCAAAGCGTAGTGCGAATAGCATGAGCCCGCGCCTGAGACTGCGAAGCAAAACTGGTATGAAGAGCCGTCCACGCGTCTCGAGACATAGCGGCGAAGATGACCAGCGACGAGACTCCCTCTGTGAGCCACTCACGCATGATGCCCCGGATGATATGGCGGAGGGCACGACAGAATACCATCAACAAAGCCCTCCAAGTAGCGTATGCGGAGAAGCGGCAGCACCTGTGCCCGCCACGACAGGTAGTTATCCGACGTGAGCTTCACCAGGATTAGGTGCGCGAAGTAAAACGGTGCAGCAGCGGCGACATGATCCGGCGGAGGCGGCGCGTAGTAGCCCTGATGCGGACCACCGCCAGACGTCGGTGAGATGTGAACGAGCTCCGTCGAAGGAGCCGCAGCCGGCGGAGGATACGGTGCCGAGGAAGAACCATAGTACGGCTTGATCGGAGGAGCCGGCTGGTACCCGCCGTAGATCGCCGGTGCAGTGCTGTAGGGCGACGTAGCAGTGGCAGCTGCGTTGTAGGAAAGCCGTAGAAGACGCATCGTGTGGAGCCAGGTTAGCCGGCCTAGGCGCGGGTGCTGCGCCGTATGCAGCCGGAGGCCATGCGCCGTAGGAGGTCGTTGACCACGTACCGTAGACAGCGGGCGACGCTTGGGATGGCACCGTGGGCGCTGAGGGAGCCGCATGGGCTTGTGAGGCGGCCTCGTAGGGAATCAGCCACGGCTGGCTATGCATGGAGGTAGCGGCCTCGTAGGGAATCAGCCCCACGGCTGGCTATGCATGGAGGTAGCGGCCTCGTAGGGAATCAGCCATGGCTGGCTATGCATGGAGGTAGCGGCCTGCGAGGCGACCACGCAGCAGCTGGTGCGGCGGCACCCGCGATGGAGACCAGTGGGGGTGACGCCAGGAACGGAGAGACCGCGCTGGCCCGAGCTCCGTGGACCGGAGCAGCGGGCAGGGCGGCGGCGGCGGCTGGTGCGGCACCGGCCGCGGCAGATGGGATCAGGAAGTAGCGGCGGCGGAAGACATGTTCGTAACCTAATCTGATAAACAATTATGAATTGTGGGAAACTGCTCGACACCCAATACAGGTGTGGCTATCTCATATATACAAGGATACACGAAGTGTACAAATACAATATACAGAGTATACACAGAAGCTACGTATAAACATTATTTAACAAGTTGGTGGATTATCATGTTTCTGGTGGCAGTTAAACCAAGGCCTCTTCATTGCTGTCTAATAGACTTCTCTGCACAGATGTCTTTAGTTGTGTACTGATTCTTTTTAGAGATGTCCGAATGCTTTGCACATCATTTTATTAAGCAGGAAACCAAGATAATGTACAGGAGTTCTGGACGGTGAAGAAGGGCTTTTCCATAAGAAGATAGGAAAAGGCCAACTAAAACCCCAAACAACACACACCTATGCCTCAGGGTGGATCAAATTTATTTCCTAATTACATCTTTACTTTAAATATGGAATTAGTTCTAAGATATTGTTTCTTGTGTCTGTAGTGTGATTAGCTTATTTCTACTCCCAAGAGCATTTCATTAATTAGAATTCAAGACATTGCTTCTTCTTATATTATCATGTTCATATTGCAGGGAAAATAGAGCAATCAACGAAGGATGAATGTCGTGAGGTTTTTGGTCTCTGGATCAAGCTTGTACGTCTCTTGCAATCCCTGGAACATATTTCTATTCAGTGGTATTTACATTTCAAATTGTAAAAATCCTTCTCATCACGTGCGTGTTTTAGGCCCATGATATTTTGAAGCAGGATGGCATCTCTCGGAAAGGTTTGTATTTGCAGTTTCTACCACTTACCAACTCTTTCGCCGTGATTCGGCTTGTTTGATCCAAATAACATCCTAGGCCGCACGCAGCAAATGTCTAATTCTGAAACAATTGAATGACTTGATTCTTGCAGGAGCCTCCATCCCCATGAACGCTGATGTTGAATCAGGGCCTAGTCTGAACATTGAAGGTCCTTTGGAAAATACAGTCGCATACATGGCTTCGGCACCATATGATTCTGGTTTGAGTAGCCTTGTTCCTCCCATTGAACATCGTCAACAAAGCGTAGGCACTTTGGCATCCACTTCACAAGAATTCTGGGGCTCACTCGCCTCATATATGAGGTCCAGTCAATTTGGTCCGGTTTTAGGAGTGATGCTGGTGGCCATCGTTATCTTAATGCAGGCAAGTATTCAAGGCTTTTGGTGGCCTATCCTATCATGGGGAATGCTCAGTTTTTACTCTATTGTGACACTGTATTGATCACAGGTAACAATCATCGTTCTGCTCAGTAGACCCCCCAAGGTCCTCATGGTCAGTCCCGAAGCTTCTGTGAGCAGCTTGGGTTCATATAGCAAGGAGAGCATAGAGTGGTTGCAGAAGCGAGTGAGCTTACTCAGCGAGGAGATGCACATGGCGGAGGCGCACATGGAGAAGATGCGCCACGAGTTTGCATGGCTCAAGTCTCACCTTGAAAGACTGGAGAGGTTGAGGAGCAGCTCATGACCGGCCAAGGTGAATACGGACGTTGGTTGCATGATGAAGAATGTCTGTTGTGTGTAGAGACCGTACAGTTACATGAGTACAGGGTGAGACATGTCTGTTGTTGTGTGTTAGTCCTGGTATAGCATTGGTGAGGTACTGAGGTGTATATATATCCGGACTGCGCCCCGCTGTGCCCGGGTGCAAGGTGGTGTATGTATAAGGCCTTGTACAATGGGAGATGCTTAGAGAAATAAACCAGACTTTCTTTAAGCACTGGTGCTTATTTGTATAGGGTAGACGCTTAACTAAGCGTCTCTTCTGTAGAAATAGGCACCGGTGCTTCAGAAAATCTCGGTTTATTTTTCTAAGCACCCCTCTAAGCATCTCCTATTGTATAAGGCCTAAGACGGCACGGCAGGATGGGGATGGTGGTGTGCAACAAGGAACGCTGGTGACCAAAGATATTCAATTTTCTAACTGCCTCTTCTCTTCTCTCCTATCTCTGCTACTCCTACATAAAGGCGCCCCGCTTGGAATGTCTGAAATTTTACAACTGTAAATGATTACACTTGAATAAATTTCTGCCTGTAATCCGCCGCGTTCCATAGGCATGGCTCCCAGACCTGATGTGTCTCACCACTGTATCATCGAACGATGATTGAAGAAATACAGCAGGCATTCAGAGGATGGGAAGGGGACAGAGGAGACTGGTAGCATGGTGCGGATCTGGCCGCTTGAAGCAAGAGGAGGGACTGAGTGGCCGGTGCTCGCCGCCGTCACAGTCGCTTTCAAACGGCCACCTGCCCTTAGACCCCCGCACACGCACACACACATCACGGTTGCCGGGGACCTCACCGGCTTCGGAGCGGACGAGGTCTCTCGTCCTGTAAGTAGCCAGTGCCTTGCCCTTTGCGTCGTGGATGCGGCGACGCCTCCCCGTCCCTCGTTACGGCGGCGCAACGCTTAACCTGGTCTCGAGCGAGGAGGTGGGGAAATACGACGCCCAGGGATCTGCATCATTTACGTGTCTGTTCCGGATGTAAAAGTTGTATTTTTACAGCCTGAAAACGACGTTTCAAGCACCTAGTCGAAGCCCAACTGTTTTCTTTTACGGAGGGGATGCTTTACAGGTGTAATGGGCTGAGAAACGACATTCCAAGCGGGGCCTAAGAACCTGCGCCTTGTCATGGGATAACAAAAAAATGTAACGAGCCACTAATTAACTAACATTCTCGTAGTCATTGTGTCCTCTTAAGTCACATACACTACCACTATATCCCAGCTTCTTTGGTGAGAAAACATGAGATCTAAAGAAATCAAAGCAAGTCCTAGCAAAGCCAGAAAAAACACTAACTATTTGCACTTTTTCAGATAGAAGAGATAAGGCCTATACC